ATCTTGCTCCGGGGCGCGGCACACCTCCGGGCGACTAAGTCAACGGCGGGGGCCAGCCCGGCAGCTGTGCACCTGCCTGGGCTGCCTCCAGCCTTGACAAACGTAGCCCGGAGGTGTGCCGCGCCCCGGCGCCCACCACCACTCTGGCACCCACCACCACCCTGGCACCCACCACCACCCTGGCACCCACCACCGCACCGCAGGCTGCTCATCTCCATCCCGCTCTCCTACTCTGGCGGCATCATCGCCGCCAAGCAGGAGATCCGGCAGTACCCCACGCGCACCAACCAGATCCCGCGCCACATCCCGCCCCCGCACTGGGCCTCCCACCCGCTCGTCCTCTTCTTCGCCGCCGGCCTGCTGCCCTTTGGCACCATCTTCGTGGAGCTGTACTTCGCCATGACCTCCATGTGGCAGGTGGGGCAGGGGGAGAGAGGGGTGCAGGGAGGGGCGACGGGAACAAGCCCACTACACGCCCCCTGAGACGCCTGAACACGCACTCCTTCCAAACAAATCCATCCCGCAGGGTTACTTTTACTACATCTTCGGTTTTGCCTTCCTGGTGGCCGTCCTGACCATCATCATCACCATCGAGGTCTCCATCGTCTGCACCTACGTCCAGCTGTGCGCCGAGGACTACCTGTGGTGGTGGCGCTCCTACTATCGCGGCGGCTCCATCTCCGTCTACGTCCTCATCTACTCCATCGGCTTCCTGGTCAACACCCTGCACAAGTGAGGGTGGGGGGGTGGGGGGAGGCAGGGGGGTGATTAAGGCAGCTGTGCATGGTTCACGTGCCCGCCGCGCCCACTGGCCGACCCGTCATGCGTGCCTGCTCCCCTCCCCTGCCTTCCCCCCCCCAGGCTCACCGGCGTCCTGCCCGTGGTCCTGTACCTGGCCTACATGAGCCTGCTGGTGTGGTGCCTGTTCCTGGCCATGGGCACCATTGGCTTCCTCTCCTCCTTCCTCTTCACCTACGCCATCTTCAACGCCGCCAAGAGCGTGAGTGGCGGCGGCTGTCTGGCGCCTTGTTGGGAAGGAGGTCGCGGTGGGCCCGCCCGTGCAGGGACACTGTTGAGCTGCTGGGCTGGCTGGCCCACTGCTACAGTGCCACTCAATTTCTCCTGCTGCCCATGCCTGCTGCAGGATTAGGTGGCACACTGACTACGGGAGCCCCACGTGGCGCCGCAGCCACATGTGTGTGGGCACGTTGGCTTGCCCCTCGCGGCGGCTGCCCCGTGAGCCATCCTGGCAACCAGCCGCAGGCGGCTGCCGCGCAAACAGGACAGTGAAGTTATTCTTTGCATGATGCCCTGTTCCTTTCTTTCGCAGCACATCTCTCTTCTCTTTTGCTCCAATGTGACATCAATGCCAACAGTTGGTGGTAGGCAGCAAAAGGTTGAGAGGGAAAAGAGAGCAAGCTGCAGCAACGATGCGCAAGGCACGCCTCTCCTCGTGCCTATCGCCGCTTCCCGCCCTTCCAGCCCGCCGCCGCCTTGTCCTTGTCGGGCGTGCCCTGCTGCTGCTTCTCCTTCTCCGCCGCCGCCTTATCCGCCGCCGCCTTGTCCACCGCCGCCTGGAACGTCTTGCGCATGGCAAAGGCGTCCTCCCCATCCGCATAATACTTCTCCTCGGTCTCGTGGATCCTGCGTGTGGGTGGGTGGTGGGGGCATGAAGGGAGCAGTCGACGTGGGTGGCGGCGACGGGAATGGCGCATATGCAGAGCAGATCAGGGAAGCAGAGAAGGCGGGTTCAGTCATGGCGCCAGATGCCAAGGCTGGCAGCCCCGCCCGCCATCTCTTCAGACCAGTATTGGCCACCGCCCGCTCACTTGTACCCCAGTGTGTGTGTGTAGAGGTGGAAGGCGCCGCGGTTGGTGACGCGCACGTGCAGGCTGGAGTAGTGTGCACCAAACACCTCCTCCATCGCGCGGTCTGCACGGCGGAACACAGCAGCATGGCGGCGAGCTGGGCAGGGCGGGTGCATCAATGAGCCAAGGGCAGCACGCACAGCAGAACATGCAGACGGTAGGCAGAGGCGGCCTAGGTGCTGGCGCCTCACGTGCCGCCGCCATGAGCTTGGTGGCCAGGCCCAGCTTGCGGTGGGTGCGGGCCACCGCCAGCGAGGTGATGTGGCCATGCACTTCAGATGCCTCCTCCTCCCTGCACTCCACATGCCAGCCCAACTGAGCAACGCTGCCAACCCTGTACGGCCAGCAGCCACGGGGTGCGGCTGGCAGCGCTCCGGCCCACTTGCAGCACCGCAGCGGTAGCCGCAGCGCCAACGACAGCGGCGGCAGCACAACAATCCCTCCGCCCGCCCATCCACCCGCCACCACCACCGCACACCCACATTTTGGCCAGCACGTAGCCCACTATCTTGCCGCCATAGTCCTCGGCCACATACAGCAGCTGGGGCCAGGACAGGACGTGGTAGAAGTAGTACTGCGGCAGGAGGGCAGTATTACTTCTTATAGGGCCAGGGGTGCACCACGGTGAAGTGAGGGGAGAGGCTCGGCGTGTGGCCAGAGCATTGGGAGGCGCTTGCTGGAGGAGCGGGCTGCGCCCACCTTGAGCTGGTAGTTCTCAGGCAAGCACAGCAGGTTGCAGCGTTGCATCTGCAGCAGGTCCTCCACCGTGGCCTGCCGGATGCACACCATCTTGGGAAGAACGGCAAAGCCTGCTAGGCTCTGCAGGGAGGGCACCGGCGGGTCGGCGGGCTTCAGGCGGCAGGGCGGCGGCAGCCCGGGCGGGCAACCTGCTATCCTCGCGACTGTCCGCTCAGATCCATCAGCACATCGCCCCGGGCTGCTGCTGTAGCTGGCGTGGCCTGGCTGCCCTGCATGGGCGCAAAGCAGAGAAGACATGCACAGCTGCTTGCGCCCCTGCTGCATGCCCACTGACCTTTCAGAACCGATGTACTCAGAGTTATCAAGAGCGGAGGCGAGAGGCGGGGTTGCGAAGGGTGATGGGTGGATGGGGTGAGCAGGGGGGGCCTGTGGCGGCGCCCAGAGCGATCAGTTGCAGGTAATGCAGATCAACAGGCAAGCAGACTTGAGCGCCCGGCTTTGAGGGACAGGCTGAGCTGGATTTGCTGTTGCATTATTAATCCCAATCGCGGGGCAGAGAGCAGCCGTTCGCTCGACACAATGCCCTCTGCAGCAAAAGGAGACCATCAATGCACCAGCCCGGCATAGCCAAAGCCATGTCGGCGTTTCACCCACCCCTCTCTCTGCCGCCGCCGCTGCTCCTCTGCTGCACCTGCCTCCTCTTGCTGCTGGGCAGCCGTCCAGCAGCGGCTGTGCGGGCTCCACTGCAGCTGGGGCAGGCGCCGCCACCACCGCCCGCCGACAAGAGCAGCTCTGGACTGCTGCCGTTGACACCGCCACTGGCCGACGGCGCCTCGGCTGGCGCTTTCACGAGCTGCCTTGGTTTTGTTGAGAACTTTTTCACGAGCTGCCCCATCGCCCTCGATAGAGTCAGCCTCACTTACAGCCGCGGCACCGACCAGGCGCTGATGCCCGAGGAAGTCGCGACGGCGGCCAGGGACCTTCACGATGCTGGCCTGCCCGTGGTAGGGTGTGTGCTGCTGGCTGTGCATTCCTGCCAGTGGAAGGCTCCTTACCTTGGCATCCCCTGGTTGAGGGTACCCCTGCTGCTACTGCCGCAGGTGCTGTGCGGTGGTGGAGCAGGAATCCGCCTCTGCCTGCAGCGTTTCGGTGGAGGAGGCGGCTCTAGATCAGTACCTGCGCCAGGAGGGCACCACCACGCCAACGTTTGTGCAGAGCGCGCTGGCCGTCATCAGGGGCGCCTGCGGCGCCCACCTGCCGCCCCCGACCGGCGAAGCAGGGTGACGGGCAGCTGCTATGCGGCGCGGCCGCCATACAAGCACATGCAACTGAAGGGGCCAACACATCAAAGTTGCAACAACCTGCATGCCCGCCTTGCCCTTGTCCTCTTACTTCGTTGTTCCTGTTTTGTGTGTATGCATATGGCATAGCTAGCGGTTTCAATTTATTTTCTTCTCGTTACTTCCTTCAAGTTGTTGTATGAAAGAAAAACCTTGTATAGAGAGGAGACTTTCGAAGAAGCTGTAGTGGAAGGGGTGCAGGTACCAAGCGCCGAGCGCCAGGCTGTCGAACTGTGTTGGCCGTGTTGGGGGAATCATACAAAGGGGGCTAGTTGAGCCAATTCACCCATTCAACGGCCACCTTTAGAAGACTCTCAAGATGCGGACCACCCACATCCTGCTGGTGGCGCTCCTGAGTGCCTGCGTTGCAGGCTGGCCTGCTGCCACTGCTGCCACCGCTGAAGCGCCGGATGTGACAGCAGTTGCATGGCAGAGCTTTCTGAGCCTCTCCTGTGCTCGGCTCTTGGACCCAATCATCCCTTGCCCCGCCGCAGGCACAGACGCTGGCCTGCTGACAGCGTTGGCCGGGTACGGCACTTGCCAAACAATCTGCAACGTGGCCTGGGTGTCGTGCTATGCCGGCGCAGGCCTGGTGGCAGGCACAGGTGAAGGGGGATGGGTAGCTAGGCGGGGGCGGCACACCTGCGATGTGAGATGCCGGCGCAATGCAGAGCAGAGCTCGGAAGTCGCCACCGCTCACCACCATTGCTGATGGCCCTTGCCTACCCCTCTCATGCCGCCCATGCAGTCACCGCCGGCCTTGGTGCACCTGAGATGGCGATCGCATGCAACGCTGCCCAAGGCCTGTGCATGACGGCGTGCGCTGCTGGCCTGGCGGTAGCACCCACGCCCTGAAATGTGCTCTCCAAGCCGGTCATGCAGTGCCGCCAGTGCAGCCCTGCATCCAAGACCCATGAACCCTGCAAAGCCCACCCGTCACATCCCTGCATGTCCCAGTCACTCCTGTTGATGCGTGTGGTTGCCTATGGAGATGTTGCACTCCTGAACAGCAACCGGGCACGTTGCATTTTGCGTCCGGTGGTGTAACTCATTCGGTGCAATGTTCATCGCCGGCTTTGAACCACTTCATTCCGAACAGCAACCAGCTGGGAAGGCTGAGGCCAGCAACACGCAGCCAGCAGGTGCCCACGCTGTCCAGGCCCAGCCCGGCTAGATGTCCAGATCGTCGTCGGGGTCCTCATCGCTGTCGTGCTCGCTGCCGCTGTCCCGCACATACATGATGCGACCCAGGCCCCCGCCCCCATCCGCGGCCGCCACCTCGGTGCTCGCCGCGGCTGGCAGCGCCGCGCCTGCTGCCGATGGCGGCCGCGCCCTGCCGCCCGCCTCTGGTGGCAGGTAATCACGGAAGTCACCCGTGTGGTAGGCTGCACCCTGCAGGGGTCAAGCACAAACAAAAGGGGTGAATCAGGAGGGCTGCCGAGGTTGGCAGTCTGGCGGGGAGGCATGTGCAACAGGGCACCCTTGCCTGCCAAGTCGCCAGCAGCCCCGCGGCCTCACCTGCCCCTGGTGCTCAAAGGGCAGCTGCACCCGCTGCTTGGCCTCCAGCTCAGCCTGGCTCAGCCCCAGCTTCATGCCGCCAGCCAGCTGCTGCGCCAGCCCGGCTGCTGGGCCCTCGGCCCCACCGCCGCCTGCGCCCGCTGCAGCCGCCCTCTCAGCCGCCGCCTGAGGGTTGAGCGCGTCGGCGGGCGGGGCAAAGAACTGCAGGCCGCCGCCGCCATCCAGGCAGTACAGCTGAGCCTCTGCCCGCACCCGCCCCGCCCTGCGCTTCAGCCGTACCGCCAGCCTGCCCTGCGGCTCCCCCGCGCCATGGGCAGCCGCACACAGGCTCTGCTCCAGCTCGCTGGCTGGCTGCAGCTGCAGGGTTCCTGCAGCCAGCTGCTCCAGCGCCGCCAGCTGCTGCGGCGTGTGCAGGTCGCCGTGGACTCCACACAGCAGGCTGGACACTCTGGGAGCAGCCTGCAGGCTGTGCAGCAGGTGCGCCACGGCGCCTGCCCCAAACCGGTCTAGCAAGGGGCTGAGGCAATCGAACACGATGCACTGCCGCAGGCCGGGTGCCGCCTGCTGGGCGCTGGCCAGGTGGCGGCGCAGCTGCTGCATGCCGTCTGGCGCCGCAAGGATGCCGGGGAGCGGGATCACCGAGCCGCTTCTGCTGCTGGTACTGCTGCTGCTGCCGTCGTCGCTGCCTCCACCGTCCTGGAGCAGGCTGCCCCAGGCGTTAGGGTCCGAGAAAGCATCCAGAACAGTGAGGCTGACAGAGGTGAGGGAGCAGAGCTGCTGGTACTGCGCTGCGGGGCGCTCCAGCGCCACCAGGGTGAGCCCCGCCGCCTGCGCCCTTCCGCCCGCAATGGCCGCCGCCAACTCGGCCACTGCCTGTAGGCAGCAAAGGCAGTCGAGGCGAGGGATGGTAGGCGCGCTGCACTTCCCACGCACTCCCAGGCTGAGTGAGGGGGATCAGCACATGTGGCTGACCCACGGTGCAGAGAGGCTTGCCTGGCGCAGCAAGGCGGGCCCGCCGACCACCGCCAGCGTGTCGCACAGGAGCAGCAGGGGGGCTGCGGCGCCGGCCTCCCCGCTGCCATCGCGTAGCGTCCGCATAGCCAAATCCATGGAGACAGCGCTGGACTGATGAGGCACTCGCTTGGAAGCAGCCTGGCAACGTCGCAATGCGGGCTTGCCTCCTGGCGGCAGGCTGCTGCAGAGTGACTAGCAATGTAGGGGAGCCTAAGTTTCAATCCGATGGGCCAGGCTAAAACTAAATGCCAGCCTGGCTGAAACGTCACCTCAGCGCACAAACCAAGGAGCATTTGCACCACACAGCCATACCCACAGAGGCACCCTGTGTGCTGTGTAAGGGCCTCGTGTCGCCGCCCTAAGGGTCCTGCCCGCACCCAAGGCAAAACACCCAGGCAGGCACAGGGGGGCCCCGAAGGAGCATGCGAGGCGTGCAGCGGCTGCTGCAGCGCTCGCTGCTGCAGCCTGGGGGCGGCGGCCAGGCGGTGGCGGCGGCGCAGGCAGCCGCGGGCGGAGAGGTGGCGGCGGCCTGCCGCTGCGCAGCCCGCACCGTGGCAGCGGCCCCAGCCCGCAGCTTTGTCGCCACCGCACATCGGGCATGGCGCTCTGGGGCAGCCAGCCCCGCGGCGCCATCCTTTGCGGCAGCACACGTGAGTTTTTTGCGGGTTTGCCAGAGGGCAACACAGGTCTGCGGTTGAGTGCCCGGGCACCTCCTCTCCTGTTCAAATCCACCGAATGCTGCTGCCCCTTTTGCCGCAGCTGCACAAGTTCGGCCTGCGGCAGTACGGCTTGGCAGCATCGGCATCCCTGAGGGCGTCCCGCTCATCTGGCAAGACCGGCGCGGCGGCGGTAGCGGCGGCGCTGAGGCGGCCGCAGGGCCTGGCTGGCTCCAGCCTCGCCCGGCAGGCAGGGCGCCGCCTCAAGGCCACCATCACTGAGTTCCGGGCGATGCCAAACGCAGCAGAGGCAAGCCGCAGTGTTTTGGTGGCAGCAGAACAGCGCTCAGCTGGGTGGCTCTGCCATGCGGGACTGGTGTGGCGGCCGCAGCTGAGCCGACCTGCCCCGTGCCTCCCCGCCCGTCCACGCCCTGCAGGCCTACGGGCCCGCCGCCCTCACCGCGGGCCTCAGCCCCGGCCAGCGACGCCAGCTGGCGGCGTGGCTGGGCGTCTGCAGCGCCTGGGTGTTTGTGCTGGTGGTGGTGGGCGGCATCACGCGCCTCACCCGCTCCGGCCTGTCCATGACCTCCTGGAAGTTCACGGGGGAGAAGCCGCCCAGCACAGAGGTGGGGGCGTGGAGGCGGCAAGCAGCAGGGGAGGGTGGCAAGGGTGCAGTGGGGGGGAGCCTGCAGCAGTGTGGTGCAGGACCTGCAGCTCCTACCCCTCCCTGCCTGCCTTGCGCCCCCTCTGCCTTCTCCTACCGACCGCCACCCACCCTCCTGCCTGCGTGCCCGCCTGCACACCCACGTGGCCCGCACCCGCAGGCGGAGTGGGAGGAGGAGTTTGGGCGGTACCGTGCCACGCCCGAGTACCTGCGCACCAACCAGGGCATGACCGTGGATGAGTTCAAGTTCATCTACTTTTGGGAGTGGGGCCACCGCATGTGGGGGCGCGCCCTGGGTGAGCCTGGGGGCGGCGGGGTGCTGGGGGGAAGGGAAGCAGAGCAGGCTAGACCTCCGGCGAATGGAGCCTGGCCGGATTTGGAGCCTAGCAAGGGTGCAGCAGGGTGGCTGGCTCCATGCCCTTCCACGCCTCCTGGCTCAACCCTCTCCCTCCCCTGCTGCCGCAGGCCTGGTTGTGGCGCTGCCTGCCGCCTACTTTGCGTCTCGCGGCATGATCAACCGCCCGCTGGGCCGCCGCCTTTCGCTGCTGTTCCTCATGGGGGGCATGCAGGGCCTGGTGGGGTGGTGGATGGTGCGCAGCGGCTTCCGGGTGAGTGGCCAGGGGCCGAGGGAGGGAGTGTGTGGGGGCATGCCAGCCAGCCCAGCCTGGCCAGCCTGTGCCGCACCTGCCCTGCCTGCTGCACCCTCATTCGAGCATGAAGTGTGCATGCACCGGCGGCCAGGCTGGGGCTCCTGGTTGCCGCACAAGCCACTTCTAGAGTGGTGGCGGTACTGCTGCTGCCCTGTACCGCAGGAACCTGAGGAGAATGAGGTGCCGCGCGTGAGCACGTACCGCATGGCGGGCCACCTGGCCTCCGCCTTTGCCATCTACAGCACCCTGGTGTGGACCACGCTCAGCGTGGCGGTACCGCTGCCGCCCGTGGTGGCTGCGGGGCCAGAAGCCGCGCACGCCGCGCGCCTGCTGGCGCGCTGGGCCCACCCGCTGGCGGCCGTCATCGGCATCACCGCCATGAGCGGCTGCTTTGTGGTGAGTGTGGCGACGGCGCGAGGTGCCGTGCAGGGCATGGGTGTTGGGCCCATGCTGGCGCCGTGCTTGCCTGCCTTGGCAGCGTCAGGGATGGTGCCCTGGCTTGGTCGCGTGCACCACGTGCATGGGCACCCTGCCTCTCCCTTTTTCCATGCGCAGGCCGGGAAGGATGCTGGGCGCGCCTACAACACCTGGCCCGACATGAACGGCGAGTGGATACCTTCAGAGTACTGGAGCGAGCGGCTGCCGGGTGGGTGTGCTGTGCTGGAGTGGTGGTGGCGGCGGGCAGGGAGGGTTCCACGCGGCGCATGCAAGCAGCACCTGCAGAGTGCTCATGTTCAGGCCGCTGACACACGCACGCACCTGCACTCCTTGCCCGCAGCCCTGCGCAACCTGTTTGAGAACACGGCGGCTGTGCAGTTCAACCACCGCATGCTGGCATACACCAGCCTGGCGGGCGTGGTGGGCATGTGGCGCTACGGCTCCCAGCTGCCCGCCCTGCCCAGGGCGGCCCGCCTCTGCCTGCACGCGCTGGCTGCCGCCACCGCCGGACAGGTGCGCCCTGCTGCTAGCTGCAGGCCGGAGCTATTCCCCTGCAATGTTGGGGGAGGCGCGCAACCGCCGCCCGGCGCCCTTGCCCTCCTCCGCCTCCATCTTTCCCTCCCCCTGCCCTCCCGTCCCTCCCGCAGGTGGCCCTGGGCATCACCACCCTGCTCACCTATGTGCCCGTGTCGCTGGGAGCCGCCCACCAGGGCGGCGCCATGGTGCTGTTCACGCTCATGCTGGGCCTGCTCTACTCCATCAAGCCCGCCCCCTCGCTGGGCACATTCAAGTGAGGGGCGCGCTGCTTGCGGACCGTGTGGGATGGCCACACGGGCGCTCGCTGGTTGGCTGGGATCACAGCTCTTCGTGACATGTGTGGCAGCATGGCATGCAAAAGAGCGTGTTGCTGACCTCAGCTGTTCTCCTGCCTGGCTCCCCCTCCCTGCCCCGCAGGCTGCTGATTGCCAAGTACGGCACCCCAGCCACCGCTGCTGCAGTGCTGGGCATCGGCGGGACAGTGGTCAACATGCACTGAGCTGCTCAGCAGGCACCGCGCTGCGCATTCAGCACCAGGCTCTGTTGCAGGGCGTGCCACCAACCATTCCATTTCATGCGACGGGTGGGGCAGCGCTGAGCGCTGCTGCCGCTCGCAATTCATGTCATCCCATGTGATTCCCCATGCGTAGCTTGTCGCCCGCTTATGTTTTGCTTGCTTTTGGCTTATATTTCTTTGCTGCTGTCCCCAAAAAGGCCCTGTGCTGTATCGCTGATGTAACCGCTTGCGTCTGCCCAGCCGACATGGCCCGGGAGCCACATCTGCAAGTGCGCTGCACTGCATGAACCAAAACACGGTTGCCAGGCAGTTGCAGTGCTCAATGAACAAAAAATGATAAGCGAGACAAAATAGTTGCAGAATTGTTGAAGAGTCGAGCACCGCACGGCCATCTACACATCGGTGCGCCAGCCGCGGAAGCTCTCCCGCAGCGAGCCCTGCTGCGAGGTGACACTGGGGTGTGGGCCCTCAAACCGCCCCAGGACCGCCTGGCTGTTGGCCTGGGCCAGAGCCGCCGCCATGTCGCGGCAGCGCTGCCGGTTGCCGCTGGGGTCTTCTGACCACAGCTTCAGCACGCTGGCCTGCAGGCTGCGCCCAAAGGAGAAGGACAGGGCCCAGGGTGCCCGCCCCTGCTGCTGCGCCAGCTGGTTGATGCGATTCAGGTTCACCGTCGCCTCCTCCTCAGTCTGCACACAGGCAGGCACGGCACCGGCAGTCGCATTGGCACAAAGCCGGCTGCTGTGCAGGGAGCCGCTGCGCTTGGGCCGCAGGCCCCAGAGGCCCCAGCCCACCTGCCCTCCACTGAGGAACATGATGCCAGGCAGCGCAGGGGGCACGCATCTCCGCATGACCCGCAGCGTCTCGTGAGCCACATCATCAGGGCTGGGCCGGGGCCCGCTGTAGTCTGCGCCTGCGCCAGGCAACAGCAGCAGTGGAGGCAGGAACATGGGTCGGCTGATATCGACCTTCTGCAACGCCTACCCGCCAAGGCATGCATGGCAGGGTGGATGGCCCGCAGCCTGCCTGGCAAGATCATCTGGGGCTTGAGCAGCGTGGCCTCCAGCACCACACCCTGCAGGCGGCGGGAAGCAGGCGGGCAGGAGCTGAGGTGCCCGGCGGTCGGCAGGGCAGGGTCTCCACTCTGTGGAGCGCCCGCCAGCCCGCTCGCCTTCTGCCACAGGTGGGCCACGCAGCGGGAGATGGCGCGTGCGGAGGCGTGGGCAAAGGCGGCTGTGTCGTGGTCGCCGTCGATCAGCAGCTCGGGCTCCACAATGGGCACCATGCCGCAGGCCTGACAAACAAGCCGAAACGCAAGCAAGCAAGCAATACAACAAGCATTTAGCACAAAACACGAGATGGAAGCCCTTGGCGAGTGTGCAGGTGGCCGAGCGAACAGGGCAGCAGGCAACCATCCACGGGACCCAAAGGCAGCAGCCCATCTCAGCACCAGCTAAAGAAAACACACCTGGCACACGGCGGCATACTCGGCCAGCTGCTGCGCGTTGAGCTCGATGGCACGCTCTGAGGGGCGACCGGCGCCCACCTTGAGCGCCGCCCGCCACTTGGCAAACCTGGCGCCGTCGGCGGCGTACTGGCGGCACGCCGCCTCCAGGCCTTCCAGCCCGCGTGTGCTGGTTTCTCCTGGGCGGCCCTCCAGAGGCACCAGCCCCTCGTCCACCTTGATGCCGGGCAGCACGCCCTGGCGCAGCAGGCACTGCGTGAAGGGCGTGCCGTCGCCCGCGCTCTGCCGCAGCGTTTCTTTGAACAGGATGGCGCCGCTGATGCCTGCATCGCCGATGGGGGCTGTGTAGAACAACTCCCTGTACGACCGTCGCGTCTCCTGCGGCACAGGAAGCCACTACTGTAAACGACTGCAGAGGCAGCTCAATGGCAGCGGCGACGCAGCGGCGGCGAAGGTCGTCGGCGGCGCCAACGCGCGCACCTCTGAGTTCTCGAATCCAGCCTTCTCGAGCCGCTTGCCAATAGTGCCTGTGCTCTCATCGCTGGCCAGCAGACCCTTGCCTGGGGCGGCGAGCTGGGAGGCAATCTCCTCGAGTGCGATGGGCATGGTGATTGGTCACCCGATTGATTCACCGAATGATGGGAAGCTGGCATCGGCCAGGATGCCAGCATGGTGCTGGGCCTGCTGAGCGGCGGTGGCGGCGCTGGCCCAGCTGGCTGGCCAGAGCAACAGGCCCACCCAACCGTTATTGGCTTCTGCAAAATCCAATTGAGGTGACGGATGATGTAATTCCACTCTCCAATTCCCTCCCGAGACGGACTGCGCTCCACCACCCGACAGCAAACTCGGTCGCCTACGCGCTGCCCAGCCTCTTTGGCGACTGCTGCATCCCTCTAGCGCCGTAGGATGGGTGCCGACGCAGCAGGGCGGCTGGATGCCTGGTTGCACCCGCAGGCGCCCGGCGGAGCGCTGCCCGACCCAGTCGGAACTGCCATCCCCGTCTTCTTCCCCGTCATCCTCCTGGAGGTCCTGTGCTCGTGGCACCGTGCCAGGCGGCCTGGCAGCAGCGCGCCACAGCTGTACAGCCTTCGCCAAACCATCAGCAACCTGTCCGCCGGCGTGCTTATGATCCTCTTCAGTGCGTGTCTCCTTGCCTCCGTTGCATTTCACAACGCTTTTTGATCGTCAGTTACCCCATTTGTCACTTGCACCTAAACCTCCAATCAACCAACTCGATGCCCAATTGCCATGTCTTGCATGCAGCCATCTTCCTCAAGGGCTTGCACGTCCTGCCCTACCTGTGGCTGGCCGAGCATGCGGGCCGGCTGCCGCGGGCGGCACGCCACGACAGCTGGTGGCTCGACGCAGCGGCCCTGCTGGCCTGCGACGTCTGCTTCTACCTCCAGCACCGCTTCATGCATGCCACCAACCTGGGCTGGTCGGCCCACGTGGTCCACCACAGCAGCCCCGACTTCAACCTCAGCACCGCGCTGCGCCAGGGCGCGGGGGAGGGCACGGTGAGCCTGCTGGTCTCCCAGGCTTCGCCGGCAGGAAGTGACAGCGCCGGCGGCGCAGCCCCGCTGCGTGCTGCACTGCGCATGCCGCGCAGCCGCCCGGTGCACGCACATCCCGACTCCTCCCCTTCTGCCGATCCCGCGCAGTTCTCCTGGCTGTTCTACCTGCCACTGGCGCTGTTCTGCCCGCCAGAGGTGTATGCGCTTCACCGCGGCCTCAACACAGTCTACCAGGTGAGGGAGGGAGGGACGCCAGCCAGCAGATTGCGCTTCCACCGATTGCTCTAGCTGATGACCTCTTGGTCCTGGCCAGCGCTGGCTGCCCCTCCCTTCGCACAGTTCTTCACCCACACCCAGCTGGTTGGGCGCCTGTGGTGGCCGCTGGAGCTGGTCCTCAACACCCCCAGCCACCACCGGGTGCATCATGCGCGAAACTACCCCCGCAGGTGCCCCCTTCCTTTTTTGTCTCCTTTGTATTGCCTGTGTGATCAACTCTCACTCCGCAACGTCTCGCCGAGCCACAACCCTGCTCCCGCCTGGTTGCAGCAACTTTGCTGGCATGCTGATTGTATGGGACCGCCTCTTTGGCACGTTTGAACCTGAGCAGCCTAGCGTGGCGTGCCTGTATGGCCTGGACGCGCAGGTAAGGACAGGACTGCGCTTAGAGGGTCGAGTTTTGTTTTAATCAAAATGGCGACTTGTTGCAACAGCCCCACCCCTCCCTGCCTGCAGACCAAGGTGCAGGGCACTTACAATCCGCTGTTGCACCAGGTTCACCATGCCATGGCGACGCTACGCCTGGCGGCAGCTGGCAAGGTGCACAGCATGCAGGCCTGCGCAGGCCTGTCACTCTTGTATCTCTAGCCCAGCCATACTTCTGCAGCTGCTACCTCCCTCGGCTCCGCAGGCACCACTCTGGAGCGTGCTCTTCACCCGCCGGTATGGGCCAGGCATGGTGCACCCTGCTGTCACGGATACTGCTCCACCCCCACCAGCAGGGAGCCAAGTGGGGTCTGATTCCAGGGAGTCAGCCCCAGGCAGCAATGGCAGCACCACCAGCCTGCGCAGGCGGGGCAGTCAGCCAGCCCCCAGCACCGGTAGCAGCACTGGCGGCGTGCCTGGCCCAGATCCCGTCTCAGAGTCGCAGCTGGTGAGCTATCCATGGGAGCGCCGCTGCCTGGGGGCACTGGATTATTACGCAGGTGGGCATCCGGGGCTGGCCAGGTGCCGGAGCCTGCCGCCAGCAGGGTGCCCTGCTCAATGCGTGCGGGTGTGGCAGCATGCAGCCAGATCCTACACTCAAACTGGTCTGCTGGCACTGCTCCTCCCTGACCTGCTTCGCATTCCGCCATGCCTGCAGCTGGCCAGTTCTTTCTGCTGGTGCTGCCCAGCACCCTGGCCTTCCTGGTGACCGTGGCGGCTTCAGGCTTGAGGTGAACCAGAACACAGCCGGACTTGTGCCACAGATTGACATCGCGAGTGCTGCTGCCGCTAAGCCTTCGCCGCTCAAGCCGCTGGCTGCTGCCTGCTTTTGTAGCCCTGCCTGGGTTGCGGCTGGCGCGTGCTTCCTGGCGTGGACCGTTGTCACGGTGGCATCGCTGTGCAGTGGGGAGGGGGCAGCTGTGGAACATGAGCTGGTCAGGCAAGTCGGTCCATGCTGCGGGTGGCACAACGGGCCCGCCATGCTCGCTTGCCTTCAGCGACCTATATTGAAACACCATTGCTCCAATTGAGCGCCAGTGCCGCTCCCCATTGCAGGGTGGTGGCCCAGGTGCTGCTTGCCCTTGGCGCGCTGAGCAGGGGCGCCCTCCCGCACCCCTGGCCAGCCCTGGCAGGCATCCTGGGCGCCATGTCCTGTGCTTGTACAGCCTTTCTGCTAGGACGGCTCACATTTGGAGGCAAATAGAAGGCTGAAAAAGCTTGTACATGGAAGGAAACCCTTGCACAGACACGCTCTCAAGAGGTGTATTGGCGCCTCGGCTCGCTCTCCTTGCCCCTGCCTCAAGGTGCCGGTGTGCTGTGCTTCCACCAGAACCTCTTGACTTTTTTACATTTGCGTTTAATGGACATGCATCAAAATGCAACAGGGTACAATCCCGCCATAATGGCTGGCGCTGAATCTGTGAATGGGATGGGAGCGGAACAGGGCCGATGACAGGAGGGCAGGGCAAGGGTGGTCCAAAGCTGGCTAGAGGTGTGGAGGGGAAAACTTGCAAGCAGCACCTGGGGATGGGATGCTGGGTACAATGTACAGCCAAGCCGGCTTCAGCCTTGTCCAGCCGCGCTTCAGATGCGATCCAGATGTTGCTGCAGGATGCGATCCAGCTGCTGCTGCAGGATGCGAACCAGCTGCTGTTTTTTTTTGGGGGGGGCCATCAGCCTGGTTGCTCAGTGAATCTTCACCTCCAGCACTACCACCGCCACTCCTGTCCACTTTGCCAATCGAGACTGCAACCAGCCATGCGGCCCCGACGAGGGGTGCGACAATCGTGTGACGGGGCCCTGGTCGGGGTCGCATGGCTGATAGCATCGTCGATAGGCAAAGTGGAGACGCAAGTGGCGGTGGTGGGGTCGGTGCTGGAGGTGACGTTCACTATCAAAACAGGCTGATGGAGTGTGAACAGTGCCAAAAACCTGCAAGGGTGCGGACCACAAGTTGAGTTACTTGGACTTGAGTTATGGCCTGCTCAAATGGTCGTGCTGGAAATGCCACTGAACAAGCAACATGCGTGCGTGGCCTGCAGCAGCAGGAGGTGCAGAAGGTGCTCACCTGCAAGCCGGCGCCACCGCCGCAGCCACCCGGCGGGCCGCCGCCACCAAATCCGCCCAGCGGTGCGCCGCCGAGCTGCCCCGCCTCCTTCCCTTTGTCGCTGGTGGGCCAGGGCTGCCTGCGCGGCAGAGGCGCCGTTGGAGAGTTATGATAATGAGACAAAACACATGCTATGCAACGGGCCGACAAGCTCATGCGAATGTCTCACGGGTGCCCCCGCCGGCGGGGACACCCGTGAGACATTCGCATGAGCTGCTTTTCGATATTGGTGAAGAAGAAGAAGATAGACTCAAGCGTGTCAGACTGCCTCGTCAGCTTCAGGCACCTTCCAAGCCGCCCCGACTACCGCCTGGCTGCAGGGCCTGGCATCAAGAAGCAGGAGCGATCATTGGCAATGCCGGGCTTGCCGAGCTTGATCACTAGCAGGTTGATTGCAAGCAGGATGATTGATTGACGCTTGAGCAGCCACGGTCGGCCTGCCGCCGCATCTTTGGGCGCCGCCAGCCACCTGCTGCCTGCTGACGCCAGCTGCTGCTCCCCCGCTCGAGTCCCCTCCCAGTCCCGTTCCCCTTTGCCATTCCACCCCAGCCATCCTGCCTGCCTCAACCCATGTCACTGCAGCTGGCCAGTACGCACTAGCGCCTACAGCTGCAGGGCGGGATGTGGCTGCAAGCCTAACACCCGGCCCCGCCTTGGTCGTTTCATTGCAGCCCCAAATGGCAAGCTCCGCTGTTGCCATCGGACCTGGATGTCAGAACTGAAATCAATATCAGGGCAGGAAGGCCAGCCAGGCACAGGCTGACTTCGCCCCAGCCAACAATGGGCCTGCGCCGCTTTCAGCGCATGGTGACCCCTCGGATGCGCAGGCCGCCCAGCGCCTTCAGCGCCAGACGCATGTTCGTCGCCTCACGCCTCGACTTGCGCACTGCCTGCAGCTCGGGCGGGCTGCGCTCTACCATCTCCACAAACCGGCTGTCCATCTTGCGGGCGCAACCCCGCCGACTGCACCCGCTCCCGCCCTGCGAGGCAGGCGGCAGGCATGTGGGCGTGTCAGGCGCAGCCTGGGCGCCGTGTCCTGTGCTTGAGCAGCCTTTCTGCTAGGACGGCTCACATTTGGAGGCAAATAGAAGGCTGAAAACGCTTGTACACGACTGTACGGTGGAAGGAAACCCTTGCATAGACCACCCGTGGAAGGAAATCCTGGCACAGACACGCTCTCAAGAGGTGTATTGGCGCCTCGGCTCGCTCTCCTTGCCCCTGCCTGAAGTTGTCTGATGTGCTGTGCTTCCAACAGAACCTCTTGCTTTTACTATTGCGTTGGATGGACATGCATCAAAATGCAACAGGACACACCGCCAGTACAGCTGGCGTGGGAGATGCACACCCTCCGTGCCCCATCATGTATCACATTCTGCTTCGGCATCCGAAACGCTCTGCTGGACTCTCGACAGCTCATTTTCACCATCGCTCCTCTGCTGCACCCTCGGGAGAGCAGTGGGCGCGCGGCATCTGGCCCGCGGCGGGAACCCACCAACTGCACACTAGCCTGAGTGCAGTGGATCAGGTGAGAGGCCATTTGGAGGTCAGCAGGCTCCATGTCTGTTGCGCCCTCATCCTCGTGCGGGGTTTCTGGAACCCGGGGCCCCAGTCGCCCAGGAACCTGCATGAAGGAAGCACGAGGCTGGAAGATGGATGGCGCTTATTCGCAATTGTACCGACACCCCTGGACCTCCGCAGGCGGTGGCGGCAGGGCGGCCCACCCGGCAGCTTCCGCCACGGTTTGCAGCCCCACCCAGCATGCAGCGCGTGGGCCTGCTTAGCCTTGGCAGGGGCCTGCGCGCCGGGCATGTAATGTCCAGGCCCTCAACAAGCTCGCGCCGCACATTGCGGGTGCTTGCAGCTGCCAGCCACGGCGGGAGCAGCTGGGCAGATCGGTCGCCGGCTTCAGGGCAGCGGCGGCAGCTGATGATGCAGGCTCTGGGACGCTCGCACGCTGGCGCGGCTGCCGCAGCTGCGGCCACTGATCTCCAGGCCCCGGCCGTCGGTGCTGCCGCAGCAGCTGCTGCCGCTGATCTGCAGGGCCCGGCTGTGAGCGGAGCACACACGCCCCCACGGCCCGGCATCCTTCGCCGCATGCTGCTGTCCGGGGTCGCTGCCGTGGCGCTGCTGGCGGCGGCGGCCTACCCACGCCCCGCCACCGCCTTCCAGCTGCCGGGCGGGCTGCCGGGCTTCGGCGGACGCAGCTCCGTGGCGGCGCCCCACGCGGCCACCGCCGCGGTGGATGTGCTGCCTGCAACGATGGAGAACAAGACGCCGCTGCCCGACCTCAGCCAGCTGTCTCCCGAGGAGGTCAAGACGGTGTCCTTGTTTAAGGAAAATACCCCGTGTGTGGTGAACATAACCAACATCGCTACGGCACGTGGCTACTATAGCATGGACATCCAAAAAATACCCGCAGGCAAGTTTGGAGGGCAGTGAGTTCTGCCCTCCAACCACCAGTGCATCGTGTTGTGCCCCCCGGGTTGAAGATCTCGAGGCCTGGGTTGGGCGTGGCTGGCTGGGCTGCCCTTGTGACGTAGTTGACAGCAGCGTAGTTGACAGCACCGCCACAGCCCTGGCGGTGCATACCTTCATCCGCTGCCTGCAGCCCCCCACCTGCATGGGCCATGCACAGGGTCGACACGTCACCACCCCTGCCCCCACTGCTCCTTGCCTGCAGGCCAGGGCAGCGGGTTTGTGTGGGATGGGCGTGGCCACATCGCCACCAACTTCCACGTCATACGCGGGGCCTCCGAGGTGCGGGTGTCGCTCATAGACCAGTCCACGTGGCCCGCCAAGATCATCGGGGTGAGGGCCCCCAGCGGCCCTGCCCCTCGCAGCCTGTCGCTGTCGCGGAGGGTTCTGGTGCTGCGGGACAGGCTGTAGGCCCAACGCGCTGAAGAGGCTGCCTGCCCGTCTCCCTCAACCTGCGCCCGCTGCTGCCCAACGCTGTGCAGGGCGACCCGTCGAAGGATGTTGCGGTGCTGCAGGTGGAGGCGCCGCCAGAGGTGCTGGCCAACCTCAAGCCCATCACCTTGGGCGCCAGCAGCGGCCTGCTGGTGGGGCAGCAGGTGGGGGCGGAGCAAGCAGACTGACTGGCTGGGTTGCCGCTGTGCAGCTGGGGCCGAGAGGGCAGACCCTGGGCATGGCTGGCCTGTTTCATGGGCTCCTTTCTGTGTCATGGCCAAGCGGGTGCTGCTGCCGCTCGCAGGTGTTTGCCATCGGCAACCCATTTGGTTTGGACCACACGCTTACCTCTGGAATCATCTCGGGCCTGAACCGCGAGCTGAACACAGGTGGGTGGCGGCCTCTGCGGCGAGCCATGCAGCTGGTAGGGATGAGAGCTGGTGGCAGGGAGGGGCGGGTAGGCAGGAGGGCTGCCAGAGTGCAGTGATAGAGGAGACTGAAGGCCAGAGTCCTGTCTGTCCCTGCAGGTTACGGCGGCAACTCCCTTCGGAATGTCATCCAATGCGATGCTGCCATCAACCCCGGCAACTCGGGTGGGCGGGCCCCGCCCTCCTGCTGCTGTTGTGCAGTGCTCGCGTGGCTGCTTGCGGGTCATGCTGGTTTCATGCCTGCCCCAGCAGGAGGTCGAGGCCTGAGCTTGCAAAGCCTGCCTCCTGCCCCCGGTTCCCTTGCACACCCGCAGGCGGCCCGCTGCTGGACAGCCGCGGCCGGCTGATTGGAATCAACACCGCCATCGCCGACCCCACCGGCAAGGGAGCCAGCTCCGGCATTGGCTTTGCGATACCCATCGACACAGGTGCCTGGCTGCCCTGCGTCACTGGTTGGCAGTATGCCACAGCTGGGAATCTCCTCTGAAGCTCTGCAAGCCTGCCCACCTCCATGCCTGCGCCCTTCTCTTGTGCAGTGAAGGGCCTGGTGGAGCAGATCCTCAAGTATGGGCGCGTTGTGCGCCCTGTGCTGGGCATCACCATAGCGCCGCCCCAGGCGCTGCGGCAGATGGGCATCCAGGGCGTGCTGGTGCTGGATGTGCCGCCCGGCACACCGGCAGCCAAGGCGGGCATGGAGGTGGGTGGGGCACTTGGGCAGGATGACTCCTGATGTTTGCCCCAGGGCCACCGGGGCTCAGGTGTTCTGTGCAATGCCGAGGGTGTCATATCGACCTGCCTCGTCACCTCTCGCTCCCGCTCTGCTGCGTCAGGGCATCACACGTGACAACTACGGCCGCATGACGATCGGCGACGTGATTGTGGGCATGAATGGCAAGCCCGTGCGCACAGAGGCAGACCTCTTTGGTGGGTGCTTGGCATGCCGCTGTGCTGTGGCCTGCAGCCGCACTTGAGCAGCTCTGGTTGGGGAACTGCTGTGGCACATCGGGATTCGATGGCTGGTGCACCTGCCTTCCCGCAGACATACTGGATGGATGCAAGGTGGGGGACAAGGTGACGGTGGATGTGCTTCGGCATGGCGACCAGCGCAAAACGCTGACGGTGAAGCTGGGGGAGAGGATACCCGAAATCGCAGAGTGACGGAGAAGGCCTGGGTTTGAAAAGTAGCAACAAGATTTTTTGTTTGCAGCCAGCAATCTCAATGCAATTGGGTTGGAGAGAGAACAGGAGGCCCGCTGTTTGAAACTGCCGTACCGCGCTGCCGCCCAGCAGTACTCCCGCTCCACCCTGTTGGCGCTCCCCACCACCTCCCACGGCTCTGCAATTCATTTCTGGATTGGGCAACGCCGCAGCAGCTCCATTTCGCAGCCACATGGACGGAGCGCAGAAGCGGGGTCCCCGCCTTGGCGATGCGGCCTCCCTGTAAGTGATCGAGGGGCCGGGAAGATCGTGCTGGCCTCCCTCGGCATCCACCCCTGCCACCCACCCGCTCAAGCTGCCTACTGTTTGCTGCAGCTGGAACTTCACGCCCGCCCCTGGCTGGACCAAGGAGGAGGCCCAGATCCTGAAATTGTGCCTAATGAAGCACGGCGTGGGCCGCTGGATCCAAATCCTGGAGCTGGGCCTGCTGCCGGGCAAGCTCATCCAGCAGTTGAACGGGCAGACGCAGCGCCTGCTGGGCCAGCAGTCGCTAGCGGCCTACACAGGGCTGCAGGTGGACATTGACCGCATCCGTGCCGACAATGACAAGTTGGTGGATGCGGAGCGCAAGAACGGGCTGGTCATCAACAGCGGGCGTGAGTTGTGGCGCGGTTGGCACGGCGGGGGAAGAGGTCCTGCTGTCGGCCCTGCCCTCTGCTGTTTCAATCAGCTGCGTTTGTTCACTGTGCCGCTGCTGTTCGCCTCTGCGCTGCAGCCAACCTCACCAAGCAGCAGAAGCAGCAGATGCAGGAGGAAGCCAAGGCCAAGTGAGGGCGCAGCAGGCGGCAGTGCCTGTTGCCCACCTGTTAGCATCGAACACAGCACCGGGGGCAGCAGGCCCATGCACAACTTCAAGGGCCTGCTTGCCCGTCCTGCAGCTGGCACCATGCAGTGGCCCGCTCACCTGCCCGGCCCTTGCCTGCCCTGCCCGCCTGGGCCACAGGTATGGCCTGTCTGAGGCGGAGGTGCAGGATGTGGATGAGCAGCTGCAGGAGCTGCTGGCCTCGAGGCGCGTGACGGCGGCGGCGGCAGGCGGCGGCGGCCAGGGCTCGTCGCTCCCAGAGCGAGGGGCGGCGGCGGCGGGCGGGGCACGCGGGCGGGCGCAACGCGAGGCAGAGCTGCTTGGTGCGCTGCTGCCGCTTGCTTGCCACCTGCCATGTCTCGCTGCTGTGCTGCGGCAGAAGCACGGTTGGTGACTCTTTGCTTTGCTCTGCTCACACCGCACGACGGCGAAGCAGTCACACTGCAATCTTCCTTGGTCCCCTGACGTGCAACTCTGTGCCTGCCTGGACCTCGCCTGCCTGCAGCTCGCGACACTACCAGCATGAGCAAGGAGCAGAAGATCAACTTCCTGCTGCACCTGCACGAGAAGCTGCAGCAGGCAGCCACCAGGCTGACCAAGGCAGCGGCCGGCGGCGTGCAGCAGCCGCTTCCAAGGCAGCAGCAGCAACAGCAGCAGCAACTCGCGCTGCCACCTGCAGCAGTAGCAGCGGCGGCAGCAGGACCTGCAGGCAGCACGGAGAATGAAGGGGCGGTGGCCAATGCAGCGCCCATGCAGATAGACATCCCAGCAGCAGCTGGCGAGCAGCAGCAGCTCAGAGCGCTTGCAGGCGGCAAGCCTGCCGCTGCGGCTGGCAAGGCGGCACGTGGCAAGCGCAAGTCTGCAGGCAGCAGGCAGGTGCGGCAGGCAGCGAGCGATGAGGAGGAGGATGGGGACTGGTGAGTCGGCACTGCTTGCCGAGCACCTGCCTGTTTCTTGCCCTGCTTTCTGCCTCACTTTATGTGCATGTTGCTGCTGTTTCAGCTGGCTTCAGCTGATCTGCCTCCCTTCTGCGTGCACCGGCCCGCTCCCTGCCACAGGAAGCCCGAGCCTCGTGGGAATGGCGGCCGGGGCACGCGGGCCTCAGATATGGATGTGGATGAGCAGCCCTGGGGCGCCGCAGCTCGCAGCGGAGGCGGCCGGGCGGGTTCTGCCGCGGCTGCTGCTGCAGCAGCAGATGTGGAGGAGCTTGTGGCGATGGGGTTCAGCGCCAAGCAGGCGCGGGACGCGCTGGAGGAGAGCAGCGGCGATGTGGAGGCGGCGGTGGAGTGGCTGGTGGCCAACTGCATGTAGGGCAGCAGGCATGGGCGCTTGCTGTAGGGCCCTGGCTTTGGCCTGTACCATGGCCAGCGATACCTGAAAGCCAGCCTGTCGCTTGCGGCGTTGTTCACTTGCTGGGACCAGGCACTGCCGTTGCCCACAATCACTGCCAGGCAGAGCCGCGCTGTAATGCGACCAGCTACATTATGTTACAGGACCAGCAATGCAGGGTGAAGCAGGGTGTCCGTCTGCTGCCAGGCAGGCAGGGCCTGCTCCCATTGCTGCCGCTACTGCTCTTCACTCGGCTGCCGCCGGCTCCTTGCGCGGCACGAAGCCGTCGCCCATGGCAGCTCGGGAGGGGTCTTTCAGGAACTGCAGCAGGAATTTCATTGGAAATGAGTGTGCGGATGTGTTGAGTGGCGTGGCGCCAGCTGCCCACAGGCCCCGCGCTGCCATCCCCGCTCCTGCCCCCCCCCCCCCCCCCTATAA